CTCTGAAGAATTGAAATATGGCTGTCCCGGGAGAGGAATCATGCATCTCTTGAAATGGGTTTGTGGGAATGTAGCTCACAGCCAACGAACGGACCAACCGACGTCTGATGTATGCTGGGGTTTTTGGCAACGAGTGTTCAACTTGGTAGCCCTTACTTTGTTCCAGGAAGATGTGTTGGTTAAAGGGAGGGGGGGAATGTGCAATTCCCGATGATTCACTGCAGATTATTTATGCCTTAAAGTGTAAAGAGTGAGGAGTTGTCTCTTTCTTACGTTCCACCCAATAAAGTTTTGGCACCGCAAAATCATCCATTCATGAGACTTTACAGTCCACTGTCAATATGTCCTAAATCTGGATTAGTTTAGGCTATAATAGCCTAATAAACCCAACGTATTTGCTCATCATTATTTTTGGCTTACCCTTTCCACGGTTCATTTATTTGTTTAAAAGATTTGTCGGGCTGCCCATCTTAAAACGCAACTCGGGGCAGCTCACAAGAATCGTAAAAGCCTCAGACCACAAAGCCATAAACCGTTGTTGAATCGTGGCTTATCCTAGTGGTGCGAACCCAGTGGGTCTTTGCTGTTTACCAGCGTGCAGCAATATGTTCTTTGCCGTTGTGGTTACAAAATTTTCTGGTTCCCATTTAAAGGCTGGAAATGGTCTTCCTTGCTCTAAGAGCCTCACAATGTAACCTGTCTCTTGCAGAATCGGTACAAAATGCCAGCCGAGGAGGCTCCATAGGAAATGAGGAGATCAAATGTTCCGAGTTATATAAGTCATGTTTTTAAACTCAGTGGAAGGACATTTTTCCTCTTTGTGTAACTGTCTGCAGCTTGGCTTTCCGAAGAGTGATTTAATAGCCAGGAATAAGGGGGGGGGGAAACCCAGAAAAGCAAATTTTCTTGTTCTCCAGATGTGATCCCACTCTGAATCGCCTTTTCTCCTGCTCACATGTGGCCTCTGATCTGGGATGAAGATGAAAAAAAAGGACTAGGGGAGACAGGATAGCAGTGTTCCAACAGTTGAGGGGCTGCCACAAAGATGAGGGGAGGGGAATTGGACCACCATTTGTCTGAAATGGTATAGGGCTTCCTGCCTGAGCAAGGGGTTGGACTAGAAGACCTTCAAGGTCCCTTCCAAGTCTGTTATTCTGTATTCAGATCTCTGTCTCTATCCAACCTAAGTGAAAGCTTGCTCTTCTTGGTCTGGAAAATTCATTCTGAATTTTCATTTTTGCTCGGGGAGGTGCAGAACAGGCATCTTGGTGCACAAATTCCAGGAGGATTAATTTTTCATCCATCCATGGACTTCGCTGAGGGCGAACAGCCCCTTCGTAGATTGGGGAGACAGCTTGTTCACGACTGCTAGCCTCACGCGGAAGTCCCTAATGAGTTTCCAAGGATGCCCAGAGTTTCTCTGGAATCACTTGAATGAGCAAATACAAAAAGTGCCCCAAAGAGTTGGTGTTATTATTATTTTCTTTTTCAGATTAATTAGCAAAAGTTGAGCCAATCTTCAACCTCAACTCGCTCCTTTCCCATTTCGTTTGACCTCCTGGAGGTCTTTCATTCAAAACTCAACATATAAACACGACACACAGGCCTGTGGAACAGAAAAACAAAAAGACAGAAGGGGTTAAACCAAGATTAATTGAACCTGCATAACTTTCTGAAATTAATTTGGAATTCAAGGGTTTCTCCTGATGCAAGAAATCCCATTTGTTCATTGTTCGTTGAATTTCCGCGTGGGAAACAAAACACAGGGATCTCCCTAGACCAAACTAAAATGGGTTTGTGTCCTTGGTGTGCCCCCTCCAATTGCTGGAAAGGATTCCTTTTTTTTAATGGCATGGGAATCTGTTCTCCAATGTATCCATTTCATATTCTTGTCAAATGACTTGCATAAGATTATCATAGGACTTTGAATATTAGAACTTTGCATTCATATGATGATCCAGTTTGGTCTAGTGGTTAAATCACCAGGCTAGAAACCAGGAGATGTGGAGTTCTAGTCTTGCCTTAGGCCTGAAAGCCAGTTGGGTGACTTTGGGCCAATCACCAGGAGATGGGGAGTTCTAGGACCACCTTAGCCATGAAAGCTGGCTGGGTGACTTTGGGCCAATCACCAGGAGACGTGGAGTTCTAGTCCTGCCTTAGGCCTGAAAGCCAGTTGGGTGACTTTGGGCCAATCACCAGGAGATGGGGAGTTCTAGGACCACCTTAGCCATGAAAGCCAGCTGGGTGACTTTGGACCAAGCTCCAGGAGACGGGGAGTTCTAGTCCCGCCTTAGGTATGAAAGCCAGCTGGGTGATTTTGGGCCAATCATCAGGAGAAGGTGAATTCTAGTCCCACCTTAGACATGAAAGCCGGCTGTGTGACTTTGGACCAAGCTCCAGGAGATGGTGAGTTCTAGTCCTGCCTTTGCCATTAAAGCTGGCTGGGTGACTCTGAACCAGTCACTCTCTTTCAACCCAACTCACCTCATGGGTTGTTGTGACTGAAATAGGAGGAGAAGGAGGAAGGTGTGTTGGATATGTTCACTGCCTTGAGTTATCTGTAAGAATAATAAAGGCAGGATACAAATAAATAAATATGATGTTGGCTAGATAGGTGTCTGGCTAATTCTGAGAGGTCTCTTCCATTCTTTTTCCATACTACTAAATTCTCTGGGCCAAACAGCATCATCTCTTATAATTACAAAACCTTTCATTTTTCTAGCCTTGCATTAAGTAGGATGGATTGTAGTGACTTTTCAGGTTTTGGAAGCATTTCCCCACTTATTAGCTGGAGAGTCTTGTATTTGGTGAGAACCTCCTAATGAAGTTGCTTTATGAGTCCTTAAACCTAGATCTACTGAAATTTAGTTCTAAACCTAGAAATAAGGAGAAATTTCTTGACAGAACAATTAAGTAGTGGAACCGCTTGCCTCCAGAAGCTGTGGGTGCTCCATCTCTGGAGGTTTTCAAGAAGAGATTGGACAACCATTTGTCTGGAATGGTATAGGGTCTCCTCAGTGGCGGGATTCAAATATGTGAACAACCGGTTCTCTGTGTGAATGCCACTTCCGGAAGTCCATTCTGGGCCTGAGCAACAAAAAATTAGCTACCGGTTCTGCCGAAGTGGTACGAACCAGCTGAATCCCACCACTGGGTCTCCTGTTTGAGCAAAGGGTTGGCCTAGAAGATCTTCAAGATCCCTTCCAACTCTGTTATTCGGTTATTTCTAGATACCAGGAAGGTACTAATCTGAAAGAGGAGTCTTTTGTTTGGAAGGAAAGTGATGCAATTGACTCCTTTGAAGTCTTCTCCCAGCTGGAAGAGAAGATCCAGCTTGAAAGATAATACCTTGCAAAAAAAAAGAGGCTTTAATCTCTTCTAAGCCCTTGATGGAAAATCATCTCCTTTAACCTCTTTCCATCTTGGCCTGCATCCTCCCTCCCCCCCCCCGCCTTCTTCCTGTCCTGCTCCTATCATATCATCTGGTCACAATATATCCCCATGAAAAATGGAGGAAAACAGGGCCCTGCACAACCCATTCTGTCATCCATCAAGAACTCAGCTTCTCCATTGTGGTGTAGGCTGATCTTTTTCTCCATTTCAGAAACATTCCTAAGTGCTGAGCCTCTTGCAGCAGCTGCCTTTAAAGCCAACAGGCATATATAAAAAAAATCAACCTGCCAGAAAAATTGCTTTATTCTTCACCCCTAAAATTGTTTTGGCCAAAGGTCCAAGTCCAGCAATATTCAGTTTTGGACCAATTACAGGTGTCCGGCCCAATCTTCCATAACTCATCAGAGTTCTAAATATCTACTTCAGGCCATTGGAAGAGAAAGCTCCTAGTAAAGCAGCAGAATAAAGAGTTTCTACTGTGTATCCACATCTGGCCAAAGGGGTTGTCATATTTATTATTTTTTCAGTAGAACCCAGAAGCTACTTTCAAAGAATTGATGACAACTTAGTGAATTCCATTGCTTTGAGAAGGAGGAGGGAACAAAGTCTGCCTTGGTTTGAGGAGTAAATTGCCCCAGTTGTAATTTGGATTCTATCAGGAAGGAGTTTCTAAAGAACTTTCAAGCAAAGGAATCATTAACAAAAGCACTATTGTATTGCATTGTGTTGTGATATATTGTGTTGTGTTGAGTTGCATTACTAGACTAGACTAGACTAGATTAGACTAGACCAGACCAGACCAGACCAGACCAGACCAGACCAGACCCAGACCTGGCTTGACTTGACAGATTTAACATACCCTCTCCAGTATGTTAAATGTTAAATGTTAAGTACTATCATACTAAATTAAAACAACAATATAAACAAAATGAAAGCTCAAATCAAAGAACCATTGAGACAAAGCATGACAGCATCTTCAACCCCCAATAAGTTAACTCCAGTTTCCCAACGTCCCGCAGAGAATGGGGACGATGTTGGGATTTGGAAGCAGAGACATTGTTCTTTGTCTGCACTGTGATTTCTTTGATCTGTAGAGTAGTTTTTAATGTTTGCACATCTCCTGAGATGAGCATTGTAAGTGTGGGAAGGGTTTCTCTTTATCCTAGTTATGACTACCTGATGCTGAGACTGGCTACATCTTTAAATGCTTATAGAGCAGCCAAACTTTTGGGAGGTCCACAGTGAGGCAGTGAAAAGATGCCTCCATATCATGATGCTTCTTAAATTTAACAGTACTTATCATATTAAAAATTTAAATTGACACATTCGCTGCCATTACTGCTTCTCGCAAGTGTTTGATGGGATTTTTATTTCAACATAGGCTGGCAAATAATTTTGATTTCATGCTTGGAAGACCCTCAGAGGTCCTCAGACCACACTTTGAGAAGCACCGATCTACAGTAACTTCTGAAATGCAGAAATAGAAACATGTTCCAAGCTGGTGATGGTCTACACTGAGTTTCACTCTACTTTCTTAAAACCAGTTCTGATGCATTCCATATACAGCGAATTGACCACTTGATTCTCTGTTTCCTTTCCTGTGACAGAGTATTGGCTGTGATGACTACCTGGGTTCCGATAAGGTGGTGGACAAATGTGGAATCTGTGGAGGGGACAACACAGCTTGCAGGGTGATCTCAGGAGTCTTCAAGCACAGCCTGACCAACCTTGGCTACCACAAAATAGTAGAAATTCCAGAAGGGGCCACCAAAATCAACATCACAGAGATGTCCAAGAGCAACAATTACCTGGGTAAGAAGTCCATCTCTCCCCAAAAAAGTCTTCTTCTAGTTGGATGATCTGTTGGTACTGCAGATGCCAGAATTCCCTATTCAGCCTTCTGGATTCCTGGGTGTGGTAGGTCCCAAGTGATTTGAAAGAAACCAGATTGAGAATAATTGTTTCTGGAGGAGGAGGAGGAGGAGGAGGAGGAGGAGGAGGAGGCATAAAAGCAAAAAAGAGAGTCAGCCTATGTTGGTTTGAGAAGAGTGCTGTTTCGAACATTGTTTGTTGAATGAAACCTTCTAGGAGGATTGTTTCTTCCTAGAAAGGACATCAGTCCAAACAAAGCTCATGAGATCACTTACGGGTAGAAATTGAACCATTGAGTGAATGCTCAGGAACAATAATAGGCTTCCTAAGGAATATGAGGTGAGGCGCAAGATGATGTATGAGTTAATCTATGAGATGAACTAGAAATGGAGGACCTGAAAATTGATCTGTGCAATCAGTTCCCTTTGGCAATACCTTCTGGGTATTATTATTTTTTTTTTTGGTTTTTGTAAGAAAGCTTTTTGATGTGTGTCTTTTATGACAGTATGTTTGAACTCCAAAGTTGGCCTCTTTACATCACTCTCCCTAGTCGCTCTACTGCTCCTGTTTTCATCTACTTTGCCTGAAATACAGCGGTGACGTAGTTGCTACCTAGATGGCCATGTATGAAAACAGGAAATATGCTTTGCTTCTGATGTAAGCAAAATGTCTGGTAGTTAACAGGATGGAGCAGTAGTTTTGGGAAACTTCAACACTGGGAGATTGATCTGGTGCAGACAGGTCTTCAAAACATTGGTACAAGCCAAGCTGTGAAACTCTAGGGATTGAAAAAGCCCTGAGAAACTGTGTGTAGGTTTTCTTCCCAGGCATGCCAACGAGCGTGATTCTTTTTTAGAACAGGAATGTTGCTATTTTTCTGCCCATGAAAATGGCATGGTATGTTCCGTTTGAGGCAAGTCCTAAAAAGGAACACTATAAGAAATGCCCACCATCACTTTTTTACAAGTTCCTAGTCTTTTAATTCCTTCTGGTTCAGAGCTAGCTCCCAACGTCTTTAGCTAGGGAGCCTTCTCATTTTGGGCCAATTAGTAGTCAACTAGTTGACTATCTAGTTAAGGGTAAGTTTAGCCTTGAGATGATCGTATTTGTCAATTGTCTGAAGGGTTGTCACAATCTGCTCTTGATTATCCCAGAGTACAGGACACGAGATAATAGATTAAAATTCTAGGAAGGCAAAACCATTCAACAGTTGGACCAATTATGACAGAAGGATGATTATTCCCCTTCAATCAGAGACGTCACTGATATCTACCATTCTTGCTTTAATGTGGATTCACATTAATTCACCAATGGCGCCTTTTTTGCAAAAACCCCCCAAATCTGTTAAATGTCTTCTCCGTGTTTGTAGAATAATTTTTGGCTAGGCTCACCCAACCCAATGAAAAAACCCCGAACGTTCTCCATTCTCATATTCCTATGTCCTACTCCAAATTGTATAGCTCCGCATGTTATTAAACTTCAACTCCCACCATCCAAGGCAGTTCCTGCAAAGGTGATGGGAACTGTAGTTCAACAATATCTTCTGTCCCATGGGTTATGTATCTCTGCTACATTGTGCAATGTATTGATTGCCTCTGTCTTGTGGCAGGTCACGTGTTGGGCAGATCTCCGATGCCAGTTCATTGTTTAACAAGCAGGAGAAATCCTGTGATTTCTCTAAACGTAACATTAAGCTCAGTTTCTGTGTTTGTCTTGCTAGTTTTAGGAGTGGATTGGATGTGATACTTGAATTGGTTTGCAACTTTGTGGTTTCTTTGATCTCAGTGCTCAGTTTGGAGGCTGTGTTGTTAGCTTTAGTTTGATGTGTTCAAAGTCCCGTCTCCACCAAAGGTGGAGTGAAATAAACAAAGTAACACATCAGTAAGATGTGTTCCTGCATGTGATAACGTAGCCAACACATTTTGTTGTCTGAAAGCAAGGGGTTGATTATTCAGCACCTGAGACAACATCCTTTAAGCTATCCGATCAATGCTTCATTAATTTGAAACAGACCATAAAATTAACACCAAGGATTGTTTTTTTTCACCAAACGCTAAACCTTTCCTCATCTGTCAAAAGGAGGTAAAAATGCATTTTTAAAAGCTGAGATTTAGGCATCACTGGCCCAAAAGCACCCTGCTGGCTTTGTGCCTAAGGAGGAACTAGAATTCACCATCCCCTGGTTTTTAGCCAGGTGCCATAACTATTATATCAAACTGACTCTCTTTGAAGTGTATTGCACTGTATAGTTTGTGCTGCAGATATATAGAATATCTACTTCCAAATGCAGAAATGATTTTTTGATACTGTTATTTAAAGAAAAAAAAACAAGGAGAAAGAATTGTGTGAAAAGCTATTAATATTGTTGGTTCAGTTTTATTTAGGCATGAGCTAAGTTCAGCATTTGGATGAATTATTTGCGAAGCACATGCTAAGGAGTTGGCACACTAAAATGATTGTGGGAAAAAGCCCACAACTTTGATTAATGCACAAGCTAAAGTTATTTCTGCTGTGTAAAGAATGCATTTGGAAAAAGCCTAGAGCTATATTTTTATCTTGGGCGAGACCCTACGTTGCATCGCAATTAACTCTTGCAGCCAGCATCTGCTTAGCACTTTGTCATGTTTCTCCCTGTCTTCCTTCTCCATTTTGAAATATTTCCCTTGAAAGAAACGATGAATAAAAGCAGAACGGAACCTTTGAATGCAAATCTATAGTTACAAGGAGCAAGCAAGTGCACAAAGCAGCACATTCCAGCAAAATGGAGTATTTGTCCTTGGGGAGAGGATCGTTGGTTGACTGTTTAGTTGGAAAACATCAATGAGTTTCAGGTTTCTTTCTTGGCCACAGTGGACCTACTACTCACAACCCTTGTATATTTTGATCAGCCAGCTCTCATGTATATGTATGTAAAGTCAGCAGGGTATCTGTTTGTGGTAGGAGAAGGCATGCAAAAATCAAATAAAGGTTCTTAGAACTTGAAAAAGTGAAGGAACTGGCAACTGGATATGTAGGACATATAACAATCAAGGAGAATTGGAGGAAAAGATATCAAATCATCCAAAAAGGTCACCTCCAATTATATTCCATCAAACTTTTTCAATCTGGATCTGAAAGGCCCAGCCCAACTAGGTGTTGTAGATCAGAACACATCTCCATCCTTTATTAGTTGGTTGAATGAAAACTGAAATTAGAAATCTAGGTTTGGGTTCCACCAAAGTTTCAAGTAAATCCTCATCAGGACTTTGACTAGAGAAACTTTGATCTTCTTGGCCAAGAGATTCCATTCTTGATTCCCTTTTCGTAGTGATCAAGCTCAAGTAGCGAGCCAACCAAGCTTCACCATTGTTCCCAGTGCTGCGGGGTCCCATTGCTAGTGCAAAAGAATAATCCAGTCTTGTGCATGATTGATGCACAAACTAAACCTATTTCTGCTATGTGAAGAATACATTTGGAAAAGCCAGGAGTTGTATTTCTGGCTTGTGTGAAAGCCTACGCAGAATTACAATTAACTCCTGCAGCCAACATGCATTTTGAACGTGGAGGGTGTGCTTTCTTGTATTATCTTCATGCAGCAAAATAATTGGGGTGGACTGTGTTGATGTGTTCCAGTGAGGCTCTTAATTCATATCAGGTTTCTTTGAGATTTCTTAATTCATATCAGTTCTCTTAATCTAAATCAGATTTGGGTTATGTGGGAAACAATGATGGTTCTAAACTGCGAACATGGATTTCTTTCTTTGCCTTCTTCCCATAACAAATAATTGGAGAACTTTTGCCAACGAACTTACAATATTGGGTTAGAGTGTCAGTTAAAGACAGTTTCCTCAGATACTGGGGAGAAAAACAGTTAAAAACCCAGCTTGTGTGTTCTCAAATTTTATTCACCGTTCTTCCCTTATCTTTCTTCTTCAGAAGTTGCCAACACAATTAAAAGATCAGTTTTCTGCAGTCCCCTGCAACCTTTAATCATGCAGGCTATTAGCTGGTAATTTTAACCTCTCCCTATTTCAGCGTTTGCTTCTGCAACAGAACATGGCAGGTTTTGTTCTCTCCGTTTGAGAAATTCCATGCTTTATTACCAGAAAGGTTTGAAATACTTAATAAAAGCATGCAAAAGGCCCAGCCTTTATTTGCAAAGACAATTGTCTCATTTTTACTATTAATGTGATGGAACTCAGAGCATCTTGTGCCAAGCCCAAAGCAATGAAAAAGACAATCAGGTTAAAACTCTCCCAAAGAAATTTGGAACTCTACAATTAATATTGACTCAGGCCTTGACAAAACACTGGCCAGTGTTTGTTTTGGTATCAAGATCTGGCGCTGGAAGCTATCTGTCTTGATTACTGATCAATAACTAGAAGAATGAGGGCAATGCTTCATACTGGAAGCAGCTTAGAGGAGGAAGGGGATACATTAGTGACTTTGCTGTGGGGTCTGCATTGGTTCTCAAGATGTGTTCTATAATTGATTGATTGGTTTGTGCCATTGAGTCATTGTCAGTTCTTAACCCAATAAACGGATTTTCTCCAGGACACATTGCCCCACCCATCGCTACTGTCCATCTATATGGCTATTGGTCATCCTCTTCTTCTCTTTCCTTCACCTTTCCTAGTATTACAGCCTTTTCTATCTTCACTTAATGTCTCTGAAGTAGGACAATTTGGGTCTTGAGTGAGACCTCTGGGTTGATTTGTTTGAGGCTGTCTGAAGATCAGCAGACCTATTTCAAGCCATTGTGATCTGGCACCAAGCTGTAGTTCTACTGAGAATAATAAGTGGACTAAATCCAGTCTCTTGGGAATATGGCAAACTATACTCAAATTAGTCTCCAAATAATAGATCTGGAGACAGTGGAGTTCCATGGAGAAATAAAACAAGCTTGTGGCCCAAATGTATGACATGGGAGAAACTTTATAGCTCTCAAAACTTTGAAGGAA